AAGAAAAGTTTCTGAGACAGCTGAATAATTAGGCTTTTGAGACTACAATTAAATAATATATATGCGATTAATTCAACCCATTTCGTTTATGGCGCTAAGGGGACTGGTAGTTCAATTTTTGTGAAAGCAAGACCATGTGAACTCCGATGGAAACGTTAGGTCCAATATATCATTGTGGAAAAATTCAACTAGCAGTCTCCTTAGCACACTAAACGAAATAGGACAAAATACATTTCATATAAATTAATCATAACTATGTAGAAAAAACTCCATTATCCGTCTTTGCATGACCTTAAGCAAACAAGAGTGACCCAGTTCATATTCTCGCCGAAAACGAACTAGGGTAGCTGGGCTCTTGTAGAGGGATTGTCAGTGATACATACATTTACCAAAATATTCTACGAGACTAATAATAAGTAAAATAAACAAAGTTCGAATTAGGTAGTATATCTGTAATAAAAATCTGGTAAATAATGCTGAGGGAAATTCGATCGTTTAGGAGGCATAATCATAACTTTTTGGGTGACTCAGTTCATATTTCTCTTATTTTCTCCAAGCACTGGACGAACTCTTACCAAAGGAAGGAAAAAAAGTAAACAAAATAATTAAATAGTTTATTTTCTCTCTCTTTGCTCGAGTATTCACAGCGCCTAATGAAGCAACCCCGTTTCTTTTTCCCACTCAGAGCTCGAATAATCTCCAGGCGTCTCTGTATGCGCGTGTCCGAGTCCCTTATCAGAAACGAGTCAGTGGTAATTTGCTCCACCAGTCGCCGCACTCTTCCGTCAGAGAGACATACCCTCTGGCCGGTAACAAGTGTTTCCTTGATTCGCATCGCCTTGGCACCTCCATATCCATTGACAACCTAAGTCCTTCTTCCCAGTCATTAACCACAGTCCCCGCGGCCGTGTTGACGGGCGTTGGCGGCGTCTATGAGAACCGCACCTCGCGAGGCCTGGCACGTGTCTCTGGCTGGCCGGATCAACTTCGCATCCGAAAGGGTCCGAAAGGAGGGAAGAGCTGCGATATGGCGAGTGATGATCTCGACCTGGCCCGACTGGCTAGGCCGGTGTACTCTGGGCCCAAACAGTGCCGCCGCCAGGGCGCCCGACAACCCTGCCTGCAAAAGTCGGTCGACGAGGGCCCGGCGTCTCCACGGACAGCCTTTACAGCCACGGCTGCCGGCGACCTCGGGACTCGGACGGGACGCAGTTGCCGCCTGCTGGCCGGCAGGCGAGCCTACAGTCCAGACCAGCCGGACTCGGGTCGGCGCGACCTCGTACCGGCTTTGGCCGGTACGCAGGCCCGTAGAGCGACTGTTGGTCCTGCCTGGCCGACTCGATCGCCGGGGGAGACTATCGCACCCGGACTCAGGCTCGGCCTCGATCTAGATTTCGAACTCCTGCAGCCCCACCATCACACGCTCCACGGCGCCAACTCAATCTC